TGAAACGAAAGGTGAGAAACATTTGCGACCAAGAACCGGCACCTAAACAACAGAAGCGAAATGTCGAGCTGGCGGACCCTGAGTTGTACGATGGCGATACGCCAGTTGACTCTAATTGCATCGCGCCTGGAGTTGCATGGGAAGAACGACAGCGTTCGGATTCCGAATAGGCACACCTTGCTGCAGAACCAGTGCGTAACGGCGGAGTGACACCGCAACAGCCGTGTCCAAGTGATCCTCGGCACCCATTCGATGGAATTTTGATTCCGGTGACCTGGATGAAGTTGCCTGCTATGTCAAATGACACCTTAACTTATGTCTATTGCGATACTGAAGCCGGTGACTTTTCAAATGTTTTCATTGAACGACGGGTAAGTTTTGGAAAACCTTTGCGTGAGCAGGGTTCGGTAGTTGCCACAGTGCACTTCCGAGGAAGAGAAAAAGAAAAGCGCGTGCTCACAGCCCGCCATGAGGCAGAGGCATTGATCAAAAGAAGTTGCTCTGCCTGACCTGTGTAGTGGATGCGGCATGATACCTGTTGCGGGCAAGCATACTTCATACAAAAATAGGTACTTTGCGGAGAAATGCTTGCTGACCACTGATGAAAAAGAGAAGTCATGCTTCCACTGCAAATATTTACGGAGGCTCTCACAGAACAACATGTACAGAAGAAAAAAGACGAACGATGCTTGCCCTGACAAAACTAAATACAAGAACCTTTCGCGTGCTTTGAGAAGAACAAAGAAGAGCCTGGGCAATGCTCAGCAGCAAGTGACTCAAATGAAGGAGCAAAACAGTGCACTTAGCGAAGAAGCTCTAGAGGCAAAAATTCAGTCGCTCCCGAAGAAGCAGCAGCTAGCTGTGAGAACTTGTTTCCGGGCTGCAAGACGAAAGTCTCTCAAAGGCATGACCTATGATGATGAGTGGGTTGTTGAATGCTTGCTCATGGGGATGCGAAGCCCGAAGCTCTACGAGCATCTCCGGAAGCAAAGTATTATGATTCGGCCTGGGCGAAGTTACTTGCAGAAATATCTACAACGATTCAAGGGTGGCTTTGGTCTCAACAGCAAAGTTTTTGCGGCATTAAGTGAAAAGACGAAAAGCATGGACACCTTCAGTCGTCATGAGGGCCTGCTTTTGGACGAGATTAAGCTCTCGGAACATCTAAATGTGAAGGCAGCCGGTGAGTTTTTACACTATTTCCATCATTTCATTCTTGTAGATTTATATTATTTCTACAATTCACATTTACAAGCATGATTGCATTTTATTTGTTGCATTTTAACCGCCTACATGCTGCATGATGTGTAATGTGCTTTTTGTAACCATTCAGGTTACATTGAAGGCTTCGTGGATCTTGGGGACTACACAAACAGTAACTACAAGGGTGTGCTTGCAGACCACGGGATGGTTGTGCTGTTTCAACCCTACACCGGTAAGTTGTTTTAAAAAGAGACTACTGTCAAACACATGACATAAGTAACATGGTAATCTTGCACCATCATTGTTCTTGCCCATTTTTTAGGGAGTTGGACACAAATACTTGGCGTTTTTGCCTCGAAAGGCAATGTTCAAACAGCTACGCTTGCAAAAATCATAGTAGAGTGCACCGTCCTGGCTGAACGAGCGGGCTTGTATGTTGACTCCGTGACCTGTGACGGGGCCAGCTGGAATCACAGCATGTGGCGGATCTTTGGCATACATGGTGAGCAAATTATTAATTTCACTCACTTAGCATTGTCGGCCTGTGTGTAGGCATAATGGGCATCTGGAAAGCTATGTTTTAGCTACTTGAAATTTTCATGTAGTCATCTAAGAAGCTCTCTTCATCTATTGTGTAATTAGAAGCTCTTAAAATGTGTATAAATTATAGGTGGAAACAAATTCATAACAGAGAATTGCGTATATTCAGATTTCTTGCCAATATATTCAAAAGCTTAAAGTTAGATGTCCTGCACTCCTGCTACCGTGATTAAGATTTCTAAAATGTACTGCTCTATTAAACTCAATTAAAATTCTGTAAGTGAAGCCTACATTGTGTCTTTCTCACGCTGACTTTCAAAAGTCTTGTTCTCGCATCATTTCATACTTGACTAATGCACAAAATATGTTTTTATAGGTTCTGCTATTCACCTGAGGAGCAGCACGAAGCACCCTGTGGACCCCAAAAGACAACTTTTCTTCGTGTCAGACTTTCCACACCTTCTGAAAAATGTGCGAAATGGTTTTCTGTCCAAGGGTTACCTGACTCCATTTGGCCACGTACACCGTGGCATTATTGAGACAGCCTGGGAGTCGGACCGTGAGAATGTTACACTGAAAGCTATGCCCAACATCACTAGCGCACACCTGATGCCGAATTCTTTTGAAAAAATGAGAGTAGATTTAGCCTTCCAACTTTTTGGTGATCAGGTCATCAAAGGGCTCTATGTGCACAGGAAGCTTATAGATTCTGTGTACACAAATGTGCAACCAACAGAGGAATTCATCAAACGAATGAATCGGCTTACCCCCATCATGACCTCAAGGACGAGTCAAAAAGCTTCGAAGCCTGGTAATCCAGATAAAAAGTTCCTGGAAGATTTTCTAGATTACCTAGACGCATGGGAGAGGCACGCAGAACCAGCTGGGGGTGGATTTCTCACTGAAAACACTGCTTGTGGACTGAGGGTTACAATCAGAAGTACGTTAGACTTGCTATCTTATCTTAGTTCCACTGTTGGCTACAACTACCTCTTCACGTCACGTCTAAGTCAAGACAAACTGGAAAACCTTTTTGGCATCATAAGACAGGCGTTAGGTTGTAATGACCATCCTACCGTGTCACAGTTTCTCGTGACTGTTAACCTAATGTCATTTTATAACCTGGCAAAATCACCGAGAGGAACAAACTGCTCACCAGATGTTATAAAAGCACTGTTGAGCGAAGCACCTACATCAGAGCTTAATGCCAAGGCAGCACCACTTTTGAACATTATTGATGAATTATTTGACCATGGAAAGGTTGATGAAGTTGAGGAGGTCATTGACAGTGTTCTGTTCAAACATGATCATGCCGGCTATGTAGAAAGGAAAAGCAACGCTGCCTTGATTTATTATGCTTCTGGCTATGTGGCAAGAAAAACAATCGCAAAAAACGCATGTCCACAATGTGCGTCTTGCCTTTGTGTAACCCCAAGCGATGCAAGCATGGATGAGAGCTCTAACTTCACGGCTCATTTTGACAATGGCGGGCTTGTTTATCCTAGTTCTGCCCTGTCCACAGCAGTTAAGCTGACTGAGGACGAATTCACTGTCTTCTTTAGCAAAAACATTCTTCATGAAGAGAGTTTGCTCGATTTTGCAAGGTGCCTGCGGTCAGTCTCATTGCCGCAGCTTGGCTGCTCTAGCCATGAAAAAGAAAATCTCTCTGAAGTGGTGAAGTTTTATGTCTTATTACGGTTCAGATTTTTTGTTAAGGGCCTCAACAAGGAAAGAGAAGGGCAAAGGCAACGACAAAAACTGCTCAAGTTACGCCGCTGCCACTAGCGTGAAGTGCGTAGAATTCTCGTTTGAGCCCATTCTGTAGTGCCTGGTTTGTTCTATTGCGTTGAATGCTCTGTGAATAAATGTTTGATGCCTGCAGTATTTCGAACTTCACTGAATTGTTGTTTTTATCATTTTTATTATTTCCAGGTATCCTTAGATCAAATTCAAACACTTACCAATGACCACACTCATGGGTACAGAGCGTTATAAAATGGTTTAAAATACAGCTTGGACAGAAGTTTGTTTAGTCAGGATGCAAAATGAGAAACGGATTAATTTGTTGGCTTGTTTTGGCATACCAGCATTTGAATGATGCACTGAAAACAGTATTATATATATATATATATATATATATATATATATATATATATATATATATATATATATATATATATATATATATATATATATTCTATTTCAACGTCTGCTTCCCAGCGCAACAACGCACTTCAGAATCTCACATGCCGCAGTAATGTCTGGTTTTTGCTTGGTATTGCTGTCATTCTTTGTGCGCACTCATTCTGATGGAGTGCAGGCTATGTGGTAAGTGTTTCCGAACCTTCTGTGATATTTCTTGCTCTAGCAAAGTAAACTTTCAAAATCACTTTGGCGGTATACTATCAAGGAGATTTTTTTTTTTTTTTTTTTGCTGGTAGTAGACAGCGAGGTGTACGTCCCAAATGGATCTTCGTTCGGTATTGCAAAATACGCTCAAGTAAGTCTTATATAACAAAGCGTTTTGTAAATAACGCTCTGAAAATGCGAAAAAAAATTACAGTTGGCCTCGCGCAGCTCGGCTTACTGAGAGCTTCGCCGCACTTGGGGAGCGCGCGCATTGAACGCAGACGCAGGATGGATGGATGGATGGATGGATGGATGTGGCTGTACCCTTTAGATCGGGCGGCGGCTAACGCCACCTAGCCGTAATACTTAGTGAACTAACCATTACATTTATCTTTTTTTCCTTTAAATAATGAAGTTGAGGATTCGTACTTCGCAGTGAAGGGTTTAATTTTCACTCGTGCCTTGACTTTAGCCACCAATCAGATAACCTCCTTCTAGTTAAGTCTACCCGCTTAAAGTCTATTTTGCCCTCGCTGTCCCTAAATCCCAGTGCTTTGAAAAACTCTGCGCCATCATCCTGAACTATAGGGTGAAGCCCTTTAGAGAACATTATCAAGTGTACGGCCGTTTCTTCTTCCTCTCCACACGCACTGCATACTGTGTCTACCCCTTCGTATTTCGCCCGATATGTCTTGGTTCGCAGTACTCCCGTCCTGGCCTCAAACAGTAGAGAACTACCCCGAGTATTATCATAGATCCTTTCCTTGGCAATCTCCTGCTTAAAAGTTCGATAGATCTCTAGTGCGGACTTCTTAATCATGCCCATTCTCCACATGTCAGTCTCCGTTTCCTTCACTTTCTTCTTAACCAATAGTTCTTTTTGGTTTGGCCACCTGCTGTTTTCTAAGTATTTACCAGTCAACTTCCTGGTTCGCTTCCTCCATTTTGTATCGATATTCTTCATGTACAAGTAGCTGAAAACCTTCCTAGCCCAACGCTCTTCCCGCATTTCTCTCAATCGCTTCTCAAATTTTATCTTGCTGCTAGCTTTCCTGCCCTCAAATGATGTCCATCCCATATCACCTTGTACTCCCTGATTTGGTGTATTCCCGTGAGCTCCTAAAGCAAGCCTACCTATTCCACGTTGCTTAATTTCTAATCTTGCTTGAACTTCTGATCTCATGCACAAGACCGCATTGCCGAACGTCAGCCCAGGAACCATGACCCCTTTCCATATTCCTCTCACAACATCATACCTATTGTAATTCCACAGTGCCCTATTTTTCATGACTGCTGCATTCCTGTTACCTTTATTCGTCACGTATATTTCGTGTTCCCTCAGATACTCAGTCCCATTGCTTATCCATACGCCCAGATATTTGTATTTATCTGTTATCTCTAGCGTGACCCCCTGTATTCTAAGCTCACCACCTTCGTTGTCATTGAAAATCATGACTGCTGATTTTTCCTTACTGAATCTAAAATCTAACTTATCTCCCTCATTACCGCAGATGTCCAATAATCTCCGCAAATCTTCCTTGTTGTTGGCCATTAGCACTATATCATCTGCGTACATTAATGCTGGTAGTGCCTGATCAATAAGTTTTCCTTGTTTGACTAAAGAGAGGTTGAAGCCCAGTCCACTTCCCTCTAATTTTGCCTCTAATCCTTGTAGGTACATCATGAATAATAAGGGTGACAGGGGCACCCCTGCCTAAGCCCCCGTTTTACCTCTGCCGGCTTGGATACCTGTTTTTCCCACTTTATAACTACCTTGTTATCTTTATAGACACCCTTTAAAAGATTAGTGACTACATGTTTCACGCCTAGTGTGTCCAGTATTCCCCACAATTCCTCTTGAACCACGCTATCGTACGCTCCTTTGATATCCAAAAATGCTAGCCACAGGGGCCTGTGTTCTTTTTCTGCTATTTCGATGCACTGCGTCAGTGAGAACAGATTGTCTTCCAACCTCCTGTGTTTCCGAAACCCATTCTGCAGTTCCCCCAGCACCCCCTCATCCTCTATCCACGCCTGCAGCCTTTCCTTTATAATCTGCATCGCCAGCCTGTAGACCACTGATGTCACTGTTATAGGACGGTAGTTGTTTATGTGAGCTTTGTCCCCCTTTCCTTTATAGATCATGCTCATCCTGCTAAGTTTCCATCCATCGGGGAACTTCACCATCGATTATTATTGTACTCACTGCCTCTCTCAAAGCCTGCTTAGACTTCGGACCTAATGTTTTTATCAGCCTAATTGGAATGCCATCTGGGCCTGTTGATGCCATCTGGGCCTGTTTGATGGGCCTCGCGAATCTGACTGCAGCGCTACGCGCGGCGGACAGCTTTTTTCGTCACAGCGCCTCCTATAGACGCCCGCTTCGCTCTTGCCACTACAAAACCTTCTAGTTCACTGTAGTATTAGTAGAGTGTACTTGAAGCTTTTGACTCGAGCGGCTGCCTGGGATCGGCCGTTTCGGCGTGGAATGATGCGGTGGCGCTGGCGTCGACCAATCTACCCGGGCGGATGGCTGGCAGGCGTTCCGCGTACGTGTTGGTACCTCTCTGTCGCGCCAAGTGTGAAGATGATCTCCCTGTTTTTTTTTCTTATTCACATACCTCCCCTTTTCCGCGCAAATAAACGTTATTTGACATTATTGC